TCCCCGACGGGGGCAGAGGATTTTTCCTCTAGCCTCTGCATCCTGACCGGCTCTGGGGCCCACCCAGCCTCCTCTACATTGGGTACCGGGGTCCTTTCCCGGGGGGAAAGCCGGTCGGGGCGTGATGCTGCCCACTCACCCCCATCTAGTGCCGAGGTCAAGGAAGAGAGGAGCTATATCTCCACTCACCCCAAACGCCTACATGGCGTATAATGGGACAAACTTTACTTACAGTATCGATACAATTTGTTATCCTCTTAAAGCTATCTAAAAATTACACAACGAAAAATCAGTGTCCATAAATATCCGAAGTCGGACGGATGTTGATAATGTTATACTGTGCGTTCCTTCTTACGCTCGGCTGTCGATATTAGTAATGGTCAATGATTCAACTTATAATAACAAATTATTTGGGCATAATATTCCTATTATTATTTTGGAGGCTTTTCTCGTGCAACAAATCGTCTATGGCGGCGTTTCTCAACCTATGGTACGCGTACCACGGGAGATACGCGAGCCAATGTTGAGTGGGGAAACGTTTAACGGATTTGCATGTGTTTTACAAAACATGTTTAAATCGTTTATGGACGAGGAAACGAACGAAAATGTATCTCAATATAGAGGATGGCCTATATGATTTACGCTTCAAACGTAAATGGAGGGCTGTCTTCTGTGGTGTAGCGCCGTAGAAGTTCACCAACGCTTCAGAGGTCCTTGCTGCCTCAATCGTCAGGAATCGCCCGTACTATATGACGCTACAACCCAGAAGACAGCCATCTTATTCGTTCTTATCGCGTGAGAACCTCAAATCCTACTTAATCATACATCATTCATGCGTCCGAAAACGTGTGTTCCTGTGGAACTAATTACAGGACAGAAATGTTGACTTTGAGGAATGTGTATCCGTGATCAGAAAATCACGCGGGGAAATCAAGATCCGTAATACGAAGTTTCTGTTTGTGTGGGAGTGTCCTTGGTACCTGCCGCCTCCCTCTCCAATCCCAGGACCAGTTGGACTGAACTTAAATTTAAATTTACCTGGCCGCTTGAAATGATGAATTCTTGGATTGCCAAGTGACTCATTTCGAAATCGACAGACTCTGTGATGCCCAAGAATTGAGGTTAGAAACCAACTTTTACTGTAATGTACAATATTTTATTCTTTAAGAAGGTGATGTAGTGGTAGTAATTTAGGCAAGATAATAATTGTCCTATTGAGTTTTCTTGTACGAGTAGTTCCCTTCCATCACTAATGGTAAAACCTGAAATACGCAATGAAACAGGTTTCCTTACAGATCTTTACTTATTGATCAGCAATGATCATCATAACGTCCCATAACAACCTCAGCTGACAAAACAGCATCGTCAATGATCATTATAACGTCCCAAAACAACCTCAGCTGACAAAACAGCATCGTTAGGCCTACCATCATCATCATTATCATCATCAATCTTCCACATCGCAGTCCAGTTCAGTGGCCTGTTAACAGCGTATGTACGATCTCCTCAAAGACCTTCCTCCACTTCACTGTTAACGCAAAATTGGAATAGGATTCTTGGGTGTTTCGGAAACATTTATCGTAATCATTTAAGAGTGAGACAGTTAAGACTCTTTTAAACTGTTCTGACGTTTGCTGTACAAGATTTGGTTGCTTTGTTCCACGTGGCATGAGGCAGCAGTGTTAGAAACATGTCATCACGTGGGAATCATTTAAAATTTACACTGCATGACGCAACTCATCCGAATTGTTACATAAACACGATTCATATCCAAAATTAAATGACGAAGTTTAACGCCAGTCCAGGTCGTCATTATTAATCTCGTATTTATTCTAAAAAAATACAACTTCCTTCGTCTGGATTTATTGTAAGCGCGCATCTGGAAGTGACCTTAAGGTTGTCCACTGAAATGAGCGTTGCATATTATAACTCATAAAAATCAATACAAATTTAAATTTCTGACTAAAACAAGCGAAACAAATCTTGTAATATCTGACAGGAGTAAAAAAGGTATAAAATGGGACATAATTCTGAGAATCCATGTAGGTACTTTTACAGCGCTAGAAACACATTTCTTTTGAGTAAACACTGTTTTAAAATATAAGATCATAAAGATTACAGTACCTTATGTGAAGAACTTAGGAAGCCAAATATTGCTTTCACAAAGAATAATTAAACGTTTAATAACTTGTTTTATGAATAATTTCCACGTATACATTCCAAGTAAATATCAGTGTATATTAAACTTCATATTTCTGTAACATATTCGTTAACAAATGTCGATTAAATCAATTAGAGTTCTAATTAACTAAACATCGATAAATTGTAAGCATAAATGTCTCTTCATTCTGAAATTAATCTATTGCTTAAAACGTGTGAGTATGTTGTAAAGGTCAAAATACAGCAATCAATAAAAAATAACCTATATAGATCTTTTAGACATAAATTAGAAAGGTGTCATATCTGAAACTAAAATTAATTAATTATTGACGAAATAAAATACTCTGTCCTCGAATTTGGTAATCAATCATTTTTAAGTTGTTAAAATATTTTGTATAAAAATAATATTAACAATATAACTATGATACCATTAAAACACGTAGAAAACAATTAAGCAGAATGACCTTGTAAATAAAAGTATCCGTATGCGTGTTTCTTGTCGGTCTTGAGTTTACAGAGTGGAATCTTAAATTACGCAACAATACAGAATATTGAGGGTTAGAATAAATATAGCCACATTTCTTTGCCATCTCTGTAACAACAAAATACAAAACAGAAAATATTGTTTTACTATTTCTCACACGCATTCCTTCACCGAACGTCTACTTCGTATTCGGGATGTCCCGGGTTCAATCCTCGGCCCGGAAACAGGCTATCCTGACTGATCAAATTCCGGGATAGTACCGCTTCCTTCCACACAATTTCTAATTAATTACTCACCACCATTCACTCATTCGAGAGTGAAAATGCGTCATTAAATAAACTATAAATAAACAAAATAATCATTTTATGACGTTTCGAGGGCAGGATCTCGATGATGCCCTAGTCTCCGCAGACGTATCATATCCCGGTGATGATAAGGGATATGGCTCCCGAAACGTCGGTTTTTACGGCCACCTGACGCAGATGATCGCCCGTGAAGACTCCATTGAATTCAGTCACCAAGAAAGCTACATATCGTACAATATATTTTTCCCATTGTGTCCTTTATATTGTCTCTTAAATTCTGAAATTAGAAATCTTATGCAGACGACTATATTTTCTACAAAAGATCCTGAAATACTTGCCAATATTTCAAACAAAATTTCAGAACTTTCTGTTTAACTAACCGAACGTTGATGCCAAGAGCCACAATATTCATATTTTCTTACAGTAAATTATCAATTTCCGTCACAGTGGCCTTAATCAGCCGGACACTGGGACCGTGGGTTCGAACCCCACTCAAGGCCTGCGATGTTTGTCCGAGTCTTTCCGTGTTGTGCTGTCCTGTGTATAGACAGAGGCCTTGCGACGTACTGATCACTCGTCCAAGCGGCCCTGCCAAATGTCTAAATAGATCAACAAACCTCCCTAGTGGGAGGAGACCAAGGACCGTCAGGGGCTTCAGAGACACTGATAAAAATAAGAAAATTATCAATTACCCCTTCAAAACCTGGTGGTAACTTTTTTCAAAAGCGCGCACTTATATGATGCCAGAACTACTCTAATTAATAAAATGGGTTTTCGGGTAAAATAATGTCATTGCTTTTCAGTCAGATATTTATTTTCCGTGTTTAATTTAGAAATTAACTGCCAATATAACTAATTCTAGGTAGTTAATTACATAAACAACTGACTAAATAATCTCATGCAGTGGAGCACCCCAGAAATTCATACTTTTATACAAGAATATTTCCATTATTTTAGAATCTCAATATAGATATTTGGTTATTTGTTTTCCCATGCGTGTTCTAAGTCCAAAACATTACAGCCACTTTAATCCGAGCACTCTGAAGTCGGTACTAGGAGAGCGGAAACTATAATCACCCAAGTTTTATCATCCTAGTTTGTCTTGGTCTCACGTTCAAATCAAAACGCTGTCAAACATTCTGCATCTCACCTACAGAGCCTTCGACATTACTGCACTCAATTGCGAATAAAACTGTATAGTCATATATAACTGGCTTCCTGACTGTCAGACTGTCAAGAAGTGGACAGAAAAGGTTAATGAACCTGAATATGGATGTCTTCTGGGTTGCTCCGTAGTTTGATAGACGTTTACCGACGTTTCAGATACATTTCAATATTATTCTGTTACTACGATCTGTTTAAAATTTTGTAACGTAAAATTTTCTAAATTACTAAAGATCAAGAAAAATAACAGTTTAGCCAAACTTATTTTTATGGGAGTGAAACAATTAAATAGGCGTCGATGTGGGTATTTGGGTTCAAACGCCGTGCGGACATGTAGGAAGATACCAACGTTCCGGAGAAACATACAACCTCGTACATTCTCACAGGGCGTTACATCCCAGAAGACCAGAATCGACACTTCACCACCGTCAGACCACGAAATATTAAATTACAACTGTTTTAAGTGAAAATTGGTCATAAAATGTGTTAAGTACGCTTAGGTCTAAGTTACCAACGTAGAAAAAATATATAACTAGAGGTTTCGTGATTTATAAGTGATCTAGATTGCAAAATCAAAGATGTTACGATGGGCTGGACATGTGGCTAGGATAAGGGAGAGAGGAAATGTTTTCAAGATTTTGGAAACCTCTTAAAACCGGCCACCTGGAAGACAGAAAAGAAGATGAGAGGGAAATATTAAGATGGATCTTAACGGAGCCAAGTTGTGAGGATGAGATGTGAATGGAACTGGTCAATTATAATTTCCAGTAGGAGGCTTTGGCTATTGCAGTCTTGAGTCTTCGTGTTACTAAAAACCTTATGCTACAAGTGCACAATAACGTAGTAACATTGGCTAAAGCTTTAGATAAAGAATGCGTTGGTCGTCAGCAAACAGTTCCGGATCAAATGAAGTCAGATACAGAAGCAAGGCCCCGCGAACACCTTCAACTAGAGGCAGTGTCCTTGTCAGGGACGGCGAGGGCGTGGTTCGAGCCCTTGGGGCCTAGCCTAACAGTGGTACAAAAAACTTATATGGCTGGGCCCCCACTATAACACAAATTAACTTAGCCACGCGGCCATCTAAGACACTGAAGGCACCACCTTGCGGTGATACAAACATTTAACACTGTTACGTCCACATGAAAGCAAGATATAGGATAAGTGCGAAAGAACACTTTTGCAGGAACCATAATATATTTCCTCATGAATGGTGACCAAATAATATTACTATAGCCAGCAGAGCGCTGATTGTCAGTGGTAACCCTGATGATGGGGACAGAGTTGGTTCCCGAAGCGTCGGTATATTACGGTAAACAATTAACGCGGCTGATTTCCCTTGAAGATTTTATTGATTGTACTCGCCGCGAAAGTCTCAAATACTATATTAATGACAATTGTTACACTTTTAAACGCAGAACTAACCAACAAACAATTCACACACAAAAAAATAAGGAAAGTCATATAATTTAGGAAATTTTATTACTAGAGCGAACAATTTCTTATGTTCTCTGACTTAAATACTCCGGAGTAGAAATACTCTCTACCCAAAATATATTTTAAGTAGGGATACTCATAACTATCTCCCCTATCTTTTCTCTTACCTCATACCGTCTATGTATGGCATCACTATCAGTGATTGTGTTCAGACCTGATGATTACACACAAATGTGTGTACCTTAGATCTACAAGTATTTTCATATCGATTATCTGTAATGTTTTATAACTCAGTAGCCATGAAGTTCACTTATAACAAAAATGTAGCAAAGATAATCACATTACAAATATCATACCATATATTTCGGCCGAGACTTGACAACCATTACTCAAAAAAATTCTTTAAATATTTGTAATAAAACTACTAGAAGTTAAATAATATTTGTACTTTGTCGCGTAACAATTTTATATAGTCCGTTTTTAACGTGTTGAGTTTCAAGCGGAATAGGAAATATGTCAAGGAAGTACGAATAAAAATTAAACTGGCCTGAAAAGTACTTGTATAAACCCATTCAGTGATATCAGTGACGAAACATACTAACGGGTAGAGACAACCTCGTTATTTGCGTTGGTCACATCACATTTGGGGACGCTGAAATGTGAATTTGAGGGTGGCGCCGTTGGAAATAACAGGATAAGACGATCTGCTTTTAATACCGGATGACAGTGTCACTGTGTGTCCGGGCTGTATAGTTAATTCTTGATCGCGGCAAGGTCATTGAGGGTGGAGTCAAGGTATAAAGGCTGTTGAGGTCCCAAGCCAGAACATTGCAATCTGCAGCTCCAAGAGGCTCTTAACAAACACATATCAACATGATGAAGCTCGTAAGTGTTTTAAGTGTTATAATACTGTGCTAATATTAGTAAGTGTACACCTAAAGCAAACAGGGAAGTTAATACCAGTGTAGAAAACCGTTCATCTATGCAGGAGACTGTATGAGTTAAACTCCGAAGGTTCCAGCATAACTTAACACTGCTTAATTATGCTTTAGTCAGCTATTAAGTAGCCTCTGATATGAGCCAACATTATTATTATTATTATTTAGTGTTCTGTCTGACAACAGGTCCATATGAACAGGATCCTTCCATCCTTTTCTCGGACTGGGACCTGTTCATATACGTTCTTGGCAGATGATCCAGAAGTGGTTTGCCATTGCCTTCGTCTGTGTGTGAATGGAGTAATTGTTGGGATGCCACAGAGTCGACACTTCACCACCGTCAGACCACGAAATATTAAATTACAACTGTTTTAAGTGAAAATTGGTCATAAAATGTGTTAAGTACGCTTAGGTCTAAGTTACCAACGTAGAAAAAATATATAACTAGAGGTTTCGTGATTTATAAGTGATCTAGATTGCAAAATCAAAGATGTTACGATGGGCTGGACATGTGGCTAGGATAAGGGAGAGAGGAAATGTTTTCAAGATTTTGGAAACCTCTTAAAACCGGCCACCTGGAAGACAGAAAAGAAGATGAGAGGGAAATATTAAGATGGATCTTAAATGAGCCAAGTTGTGAGGATGAGATGTGAATGGAACTGGTCAATAATAATTTCCAGTACTAAAAACCTTATGCTACAAGTGCACAATAACGTAGTAACATTGGCTAAAGCTTTAGATAAAGAATGCGTTGGTCGTCAGCAAACAGTTCCGGATCAAATGAAGTCAGATACAGAAGCAAGGCCCCGCGAACACCTTCAACTAGAGGCAGTGTCCTTGTCAGGGACGGCGAGGGCGTGGTTCGAGCCCTTGGGGCCTAGCCTAACAGTGGTACAAAAAACTTATATGGCTGGGCCCCCACTATAACACAAATTAACTTAGCCACGCGGCCATCTAAGACACTGAAGGCACCACCTTGCGGTGATACAAACATTTAACACTGTTACGTCCACATGAAAGCAAGATATAGGATAAGTGCGAAAGAACACTTTTGCAGGAACCATAATATATTTCCTCATGAATGGTGACCAAATAATATTACTATAGCCAGCAGAGCGCTGATTGTCAGTGGTAACCCTGATGATGGGGACAGAGTTGGTTCCCGAAGCGTCGGTATATTACGGTAAACAATTAACGCGGCTGATTTCCCTTGAAGATTTTATTGATTGTACTCGCCGCGAAAGTCTCAAATACTATATTAATGACAATTGTTACACTTTTAAACGCAGAACTAACCAACAAACAATTCACACACAAAAAAATAAGGAAAGTCATATAATTTAGGAAATTTTATTACTAGAGCGAACAATTTCTTATGTTCTCTGACTTAAATACTCCGGAGTAGAAATACTCTCTACCCAAAATATATTTTAAGTAGGGATACTCATAACTATCTCCCCTATCTTTTCTCTTACCTCATACCGTCTATGTATGGCATCACTATCAGTGATTGTGTTCAGACCTGATGATTACACACAAATGTGTGTACCTTAGATCTACAAGTATTTTCATATCGATTATCTGTAATGTTTTATAACTCAGTAGCCATGAAGTTCACTTGTAACAAAAATGTAGCAAAGATAACCACATTACAAACATCATACCATATATTTCGGCCGAGGCTTGACAACCATTCCTCAAAAAAATTCTTTAAATATTTGTAATAAAACTACTAGAAGTTAAATAATATTTGTACTTTGTCGCGTAACAATTTTATATAGTCCGTTTTTAACGTGTTGAGTTTCAAGCGGAATAGGAAATATGTCAAGGAAGTACGAATAAAAATTAAACTGGCCTGAAAAGTACTTGTATAAACCCATTCAGTGATATCAGTGACGAAACATACTAACGGGTAGAGACAACCTCGTTATTTGCGTTGGTCACATCACATTTGGGGACGCTGAAATGTGAATTTGAGGGTGGCGCCGTTGGAAATAACAGGATAAGACGATCTGCTTTTAATACCGGATGACAGTGTCACTGTGTGTCCGGGCTGTATAGTTAATTCTTGATCGCGGCAAGGTCATTGAGGGTGGAGTCAAGGTATAAAGGCTGTTGAGGTCCCAAGCCAGAACATTGCAATCTGCAGCTCCAAGAGGCTCTTAACAAACACATATCAACATGATGAAGCTCGTAAGTGTTTTAAGTGTTATAATACTGTGCTAATATTAGTAAGTGTACACCTAAAGCAAACAGGGAAGTTAATACCAGTGTAGAAAACCGTTCATCTATGCAGGAGACTGTATGAGTTAAACTCCGAAGGTTCCAGCATAACTTAACACTGCTTAATTATGCTTTAGTCAGCTATTAAGTAGCCTCTGATATGAGCCAACATTATTATTATTATTATTTAGTGTTCTGTCTGACAACAGGTCCATATGAACAGGATCCTTCCATCCTTTTCTCGGACTGGGACCTGTTCATATACGTTCTTGGCAGATGATCCAGAAGTGGTTTGCCATTGCCTTCTTCTGTGTGTGAATGGAGTAATTGTTGGGATGCCACGGAGGAAAACTCCGTGTTGCCTAGACCACGGCCTTGCCCAACACAAGTTATAAATTCGGGAATCGAACCCGAGACCCCAGGATTACAAGGCCAGCGTTCTAACAGCTAGACCACCGTGGCGGTCATGAGCTAACATGCAATAAATAAAATATGTCTGGGATTAATAATTACGCGGAAATTAATATTTTTAACCTTGATCTATGCTGTCTGGTTCCTCGAAACGGGACTTCGTGTGGGTACCGTTGCATACATTGTAAGGAAATTAATGAGTTTTCATTGTACGTACGTGAGGGGTACTGCGCAGACAGACCTAGCTGGTTGTATCACTAGATGACAGCACAATACAAATCCTGATACAGCATTCAACAGAAATATGGCTGCGAAGTGCACTTAAGACTATTGAACCATGTCAACGTTCAGGCAGAGATAGGACAGTCTTAAGTGGCCTAACTTCGTGATGGGATATGATGACAACTTTTAGTGATACAACTGCTACTGCTACTACTAACAAATTCAGGCTACCATCTGAAAATCCAAATAAATTCACGAAAATAAATGTGCATGTACATTCAAAACCGAAATAATTTTTTGTTTCAGGTAATTTTCGCCGCCATGTTGGCTCTTGCTTCAGCGGCCCCCAGTCCCAGCCTCCTTGCTGCCCCCGCCCTGACAGCCTATGCCGCCCCCGCTCTAACATCGTATGCCGCCCCCGCTCTAACATCATATGCCGCCCCTGCCGTAGCTGTCCACAACGTCCCTGTTGTTACTACTGGTTACCGCGTTGCCTACAGTGTGGAGCCAGTTGAGCAGCACGGTTACAAGATAGTCTACTAGATGTCACCACTAACTTCGCGTGAAACTATCGATTATCGCCACCTACCGCCGTCAGTTCTCAGAATTGGGTGTGACCGAATATACTCAAAAGCAGAAATGCACTTATTTGAACATTCCATTTAGTCATTGTTGTCCATTATAATTATTTTAATATGCTTAAATTAAAAACATAATTGCAATATACGTGTACTTTATTTCACATTTCTAACTATTGTAACGTATCCTTAAATTAATAAAATAAAAAAAGGTGTATTGGTGGAGCCTGAATAGGACTGGCTCAAGATAGGGAAGGTGTATTGGTGGTGCCTGAATAGGACTGGCTCAAGATAGGGACCAGGAGTGTGTTCTTAAGAATATGTTAACGCGCGTTCCTATGGAAGTCAGACGCGCTATCGCTGTAGTAACCCGCTTAGATGACACAGAGGTTTAATGACAGCAATCTGTTTCGAAGTTCGAGCCGGACGAAGTGTTAGTGGATTGGTTAATAAAAGCCGCGCTCCCTGTGGGAAGTGAAAGTGTCCTGGGGATTCCCTTACGCCACACACTTTCGCTTAACCGCTTTCAGATCCGTTGTGGTAGTCATTCAGATCACCGCACGAAAACAAATTCCAGGGAAGTACGTTGCTACGTAATCTTACCCTGCAGTGTGTGGCACATGCGTTACTATAGTTACGTCTAACCCAACAGTCCTGGTTTCGTTCAGTGCCTTTCGAAGGTTCTTGCCTTGAGCGACGTTACGAAGTTTTACGGAAAATTTGAGGTTAGGATAACATCGGGTGCCCTTAAAACTCACCAGAGCTGCTTAGAGCCCCTTCCTTCACTGTACACAAAAAGTAGGTAACGACAAGTTCAAAAATAAACGAGTCTTTAAAAATGAATGTGTCACAAGACTTACCGCAGTGCTGATCTGGAAGCTAGAGGCAATGGTTTCGGATGTCATCAGAGTTCTCTAGGTGTGGACGTCAGTGACTTCTTGTTCACAGTAACTAACAGCTGAGAACACCTAAAACCAAATACAGTCTTTGTCAAAAACTGCATACAAATCGGGGGAAAAAAAATGCGGATACTTGAAATTCGCGGTTGGTGTTACCATAACTACAATCTGTACTACGGTAAAAAGTTAACGCGGCTGATTGCCCGAGAAGATTTTATTGAATTTGTTCCCGAAACGTCGGTGTACTACGGTAAAAAATTAACGCGGCTGATTTCCCGAGAATATTTTATTGAATTTGATTCCGAAACGTCGGTTTAATACGGTAACCAGTTAACGCTTCCGATTACTTAAGTATTGTGAATATAGGCATTCGTCCATGTGAGCATTCGTACGTGTGAGCATTTGTCAGTGTGAGCATTTATCAGTGTGTGCATTTGTCAGTGTGAGCATTTGTCCGTGTGAG